TAGCCTTCACCATTTGTTCTGCTTGCTCCCAACGGAAACGCCATTGTAAACCTCTATCAAAGGGCACTATCTGAAGCTCGCTTGCTTTCTTCTTGAACCCATCTACAATAGTTTCTAACTCAGCTATTGTTTTGCCATCTCTCTCATGTTGTTTCTCCAGATCAGCCATCTGGATTTTCAAGCGTTGGTTTTGATGCTGGTTGTCTACTAAACATCTCTGGGCAGTTTTTATCTGTTCTTTCCAGGCTCTCTCACCAGGCCCCTCAAACTTTCCTTTCAAGCTGTGAGCTTCATCTTTCCAATACTCATAAGACACCTTCAACTTGGTGTTATCCTTGACCGTATCTTGATACCCCTTTCTCAAGTCTTCAAGCTCAAAATGAACTTTTTTATGTTCTCTTTCTAGTTTGTCTGCTTTATCTTTCTGTGAGTCAACCTTGAGTTTCCATTGATAACGTTTAGTTTCAAGTTCCTTAATCCTCTGTTTCAGCTCGCTATTCACAGCTTCAAACTCTGCCTTGGCTATCTCCAGTCTAGAAGGGACATGCCTGAGATGTTCTTCCATAGTCCGAGTGTCTTCACAGTCTGCACCGGGACGTTATCATTCTTTCTCAATCTTCGCCACTCCACATAATCTCGAGTAAGCATGTCTCTGGTAGCAACGACATCCATTCGAAATACTTTCTTCCATGACTCAGATGTTTCCCTGATCATCTTCTTATAACTGTCACTGCTATACACAAACTCTGATTTAATTAGTCTGTATGTTACGGGGACAAACTGACGTGCCCCATACTATCTAAGTTCTAACAATGGAGCATACCCAACTGTACCCCAAAGTCCGAGTAAAGTTATAGTATCAGAATCCCCACACCGGAAAAGAACGTCACCGAGGAAAAACCAGGGGGCTCTCCAGGTAATATCCCGACCCTGAAGATGTGTAAAAACTTTCATCCACTTTTCTTTTGAAGCACCTTCATTCCATTTCATTGTGATGAACTCCCCTAAAGGTGAATATATGGTGCTAAATTGGCGGTAGGCGACCCCGTTAGTCTTCCAGAAATGGTTGTGAATCCATACTTGAAGGAGCTGAATACACCCAAAGAGCCTACCTCCACCAGATCTTCGACAATGATTAATAGACCGAAAGGTCTCGGCTAAGATGGTCGGTGCGGGGTTGATTCGTCTCGGAAGTTGTTCAAACAATTCTACCACGGCTGCGTTAATGCAACCCAATGCCTTCGGAAAGATAATCAACCCGTACAGACCTAGTGCAAAAAGGTCTATAGTCTTCCACTCATCAGGGTGGTTCTTCATTAATTGCCTTATGTGGATCCATTCAATTCCTTCCCCACTACCTCTGTGCTGAGTCCAGTCAATTACCCATTTTTCGTCAACTCCCGCAACTTAGCCAGTCTGTTCTTGAAAGGCTGACTCTTGATGTGTTTGATGTAGGCTCACTCCAGTTTAATGCTTTCACAGTGCAATAGTGTAGTATACTCCTCGATGGTAGGTACCATGTCCTCTTGGTTAAAAGTGAAGCAACTATATCCCGGGTTCCAGAATTGAACCAAGGCTCTGATTAAGGGCTCACCGGTCTTAACATGAAGCAAAAGTGCAATGTCACCATACCGCTGACTAAACTTCTATTTTCGATCATTCTTCTAACTGTCCCAGATGTCTCGAAGTTCTTGCACATTGTTCTGTTTTAGGCTGATAGAGGCATAGCTAACAAGCTCTGACACATAACTTCCTTGAAGACTGACTCCCTTTTTTTTCTGAGGCTTCTCGGACCATAGTTGTACCTTAGGGTTTTTAATCTCCTGTATTACAACACCTTTATCCATTAATGCAGATTATTTATGGTTAACGAACACGTTTTTTGGTGGATCAACACCTCTTTTGAATGATGCAGATGATAGAAATAAAATAAAAGAGAGGAAAAAAATAAAAAGAGTTAGTAAGGTAAAGATAATAATCAAAGCAATCATAAAAATAAAAGTCCTACCCCACATGATATCTACCCCACATGATATCTACCCCACATGCTTATTATTCCTACCCGGACATGATCTCTATCCCGCAAGTTGATTTTGAACAAGTCCTAACCGCATAAATTTCTAGTTCACATCTTTTTGAACAGAAAGTAAAACAGAAAATAATTTTGGCATCCTAGGGTTTAAAACGAGGTTTTGGGGTGGGCCCTAACTCCTTGTAGTCTCCGGGTTTAGGTTCTTAAAAAAGGTACTCGAGTTCTCCTTGCCGGTGCCCCCTTGGGCTTACCAGACCCTTAGTCCCAAACCCATCACAGGCTTGTGTGGACTAAGTTAAACTCGAGAGGAAACATTCCTTTATGCCCATAAGGAGAATAAATTCACACGAAGGCATAAGGTATATAAATCCCGAAGGTTACTTGCTAGGCCCATACGATGAATAAATTCACACGAATGCATCGCTTTCACCCCCACTTAAAACGGGTTCGGAGCTCGGGTATAGAGCCTTTGGATGAAAAATCTTTAAGGGCTGAAATCATTAAAAAACAGTCAGTACAACTATTTACTCGAGAATATAATCAAAAGTAAGTAATAAGGATCGAAATGTTACCTTAAAATTTAAACTTACCTTTTCATTAAAAAGACAACTGGAAATTACCTTAGCCTGACTGACTTACATGTGTCCTCAGCGGAGTCGCCAAGCTGTCGCAACCGTCTTTCGGTTAGGCCCCGGAATTGGGCTTCGACTTGAAAAATGTGGATTGGGAGTCGCCACCGATCATTTATTTAAAACAAATGGGTTGATCGGATACCCTATTTCTTACCTGATCTGCGTCTTTCCAAAGATGTGTCGGGTTCGGGAGTCGGTTACGGTCAAGGAAGGATTAACACCCTTGAACCGCCCTTTCGGTACTACGTAATTTCTAGTTGTCTTTGATTAAGAAAATTGCAAGTTAAATTAAAAGGTAAAATTTGATCTGAATTACTTACCCTTAATGAGTTTACGGAAATACCCTTAAAAAATTAAAATAAGATGTTAAAAGAAAATAATAATAAAAGAAAATAACAAAACTAAAGAGTAAACCAAGGAAATAAATGAAACCAATAATAATAAACATAAAATAATTGGATGAAACAAATAAAAAAATGAAATTGAATAAAATAAAATAAATGAAGAAAAAAAAATATATATAAAAAAGAATAAAAAATGTAAAGTATTTTTTAAAAAAAGAAAAATAATAATAAGAACAAAGAAACAAAAAACATAATGAAAATAAATAAATAGTATAAATAAAATAAAAATATAAAAATATATAAAAATATAAAAATGTATGTATATATAATAAAATACTAAATAGTAACAATAATAAATAAATAAATAATAAATATACATATAATATTAACTAAAAAATAGTAATCATAGAAATATAAAATAAAATGAAGTAAAAATATATATATATATATATATATATAACGTTAGGAAAATATAGTAAAAAAACATAGTAAATAAGTAAACATAGATAAAAAAAATATATATATATATATATATATATATATATATAATAGAAAAAAATATAATATAACGTAAAGAAAATAAAAAAAATATAATAATAAATAAATAAAAAAATATATAAATATATATATATATATATATTTTATACATATAAATAATAAGGGTTAAATTAAAATAAAAAATGAATTAGGGGTCAAAATTAAAAGTCAATCGAAGAAAAAAAAACGACAAAACATGCGGATCCACACGATCCGTTTATAAAATCCGATAATTTTTCAAAAATACAAGCCTCGGGGACTAGATCTAAAAATAGATCACACTTCTCTCAATTTTCTTTCGAATCAAAACAAACAAGGGTAAGGAAAAATAACATGCGAATGTATGAACTTTACCTTTCAAAATATAAATGCTTCGAAAAATGGCTACGAGTTTATAGACACCATCCAACTTCTTGTTATTGAAGATGAGGTCATTCCTGTGGAGCCAAATCGTCCAAATAACCACAATGGGGAGGGTGGTCCAAACTAACCTTTGATGTGCTCCAATCGGGAGACTTTCATTCCACGATAACAAGAAGCTCTTAGGGTCGTTAGGCAGGACTGTCGAGATGCCCCGCAAGGCGAGTAAAGCCCCCCATATTTTCTAAGAGATCGAACACGAAAGAAAGAGATGTTAACAGTTTCTTGATGCAGCAAACAAAGAGGACAGATCGAAACCGTCACCACCCCTCTTTTCACGAGTTCCGCCCTAACAAGAATTCGCCTATGAAGTACTCTCCACGCGAACGACTCAACTCTATACGGAACAATATCTAGCCAAATAAATTTCCTCCGGTTAAAATCTGCTATGCTACTGGGAACCAGTAACTCAGCGACTGATTTTGTTGAATAAAGCTCGTCGCTTGAGCCGCTCCATTTTACCCAGTCCGAAGTTGAATACGAGCCTACAAATTTGTTGAGCAGCCGAAACATTGAATCCCATTGGACTCTTTCCCAATAAAAAATGATCCTCCTCAATGGTATAGACCAGCTCCAACCCGAATCATTATTGGAGCCGAAATCGGCAACCCAACCATTTTTATTTACTGGCAAAGCAAAAATTCTCGGGGAAAGGTCTTTGAGGGGACGGTTTCCGATCCAAACATCATGCCAAAAAAAAAGAAAGGAAATCATATTTTTTCTTTTAAGTACTTGACTCGTTAGGTAAAAGCGGCAGATCGGGGGTGGTGTTCAAAACCGACTTCAAGAAAACCTATGACACGATTGATTAGGGGTTCTTAATCTGGATTCTCAAAGAAATGAGGTTCGGAGCTCAGTGGTGTAAGTGGATATTCAGTTGCATCTCGTCGGCATCCATCTCTGTGCTTGTTAACGGATCCCCACTAACAGGTTTCAGCTGTCAAGACGGCTCAGACAGGGATATCCTATCATAATAATATATCTTTCCTTTCTTTTTTCCTTTCTAAAATTAAATCTCATTTTAACAAATAAATGTGAATTCCTTAAAAAATACATAGGAAAGATAAGAAAAAGGAAAGGTGTATTGGATGAGGTTTTCTCGAGTCCCCATGAAGTTCAGCTTTCTTGATTAATCTGTTATGTATTCATGTGTTCTTTTCATGTCAATCTGAATGTCTTCATATTATGTTATTTATTTTCTTTTTAACTCTTATGAGTTTCCCAAAATTTTTAGATTTTGCGCTGGGAAACCATAGAAAGTGAGGTGGATATATTGAAATCGAGGCTCTCACAGATTTATTACGATGATCTTCTAAAGGTGACTGCTTGTTCCAATGGTGTCATGGGTTTTAAATTTATCTTTCAAGTTAACGACAAATATTTCTGCTTTCATATTCAATCAGCTAAGAAAACCAATGGAATGTCTAGAAGAATGGCTTGATGCTGTATCTACAGCTAATATCCCTTGTGCTGTGGTTTCAAGTCTTGATCGAAGGAACATGGTTGATGCTTTAGAACTAATTGGCCTCAAGAAGTATTTCCAGGTTCAATGTCTCTAAAAATTTCATGAATCTCCTGTATGATGCAACTGATTGCTGCAGTTTTTTACCCTCTGAAGCCCAGTGGTTGTGCTGTTTAATATGCCATCAGGAGCTTGGCAGGTGGATAATGTCTATGCAACGTAATTCGCCATATGAAACTTCTCTCTTTGCTGTCTAGAGAGGCCAATTTTTTGCTTTTCCTGTCGACAATCTTTTCTAGTCTTTCCACTGTTAATGCTAAACTGTGCATTTTGGGGGGTAAATTGAATAACATATGGATGACCATGTGCATTGTGTAGTGTTCAATATGAAAAATCTGTTCTTTTTTGTTCCATTCTCAGATATGTTCCCAGGACCATTTAGTCAATGAAATGGTCAGCGCAAATAAGATTCCAATCTGCTAAAATTTCTTTAATTGTTCACAGGCAATAATTTCTGAGGAAAACGGAATGGGGTCGATATCTCATAGATTTCTATCTGCAGCTATGAAGGTATGTTCCATTTAAGATCACAACTTGGGATTATTTCCAATTATAGGGCATAGGCTTGAAGGCTTTCATATATGCCGGTCAAAGTTAGCATTTGCATTCTTCCAGTCCTGCCCTTATAGCAGAAGCATTATATTCTTTATAGCTGATGCCAACTGCAGTAGTAAAAAAAAAAGAGGGAAATGAGAACTATAGATTCCAATTTGGTTAAGATGGTTTCTGTAGGTTTTATTTATGTTAGTTTCCTTGTAATATATATATATATATAAAGTACCCACACTTGAATGCCTTTAATTTCCCATTGATTATATTGAAAATGGTGGGTGAGTCTTGTAAATCTGGAATATTCAACCATAATTGATGCCTATAGAGAAGAAAGAAACTATTGAAGTTAATTATAGAAGCTTCTTTTCTATGCTAATTAGTTCTCCACTTTTTGATATATTTCTTTTAATTCCTTGCAGTTGGATCGTAAACCATCAAAATGTGTAGTATTTGAGGATGATCCCCGTGGCATTACCGCAGCTCATAAATGTACTATGATGGCTGTGGCAATGATTAGCTCTCACCCTGCGTATGTGTTTCTTTCTACATAGAAACATGCTATCATTCCTACATGGACACACTTTAATTCCAACATTCGAAAGAAACCTATATTTAAAATTGTGATTAGTGCACTGAGCTCCCTTGTAATAAGAAGTCATCTGATATACCTCTTCTGATATAGCCTATAGGAAGCAAATAAAAAAACAAGGGTGTAATCCTTGGTATTTTACACTTAGGCTGGGCGTAAACCTCGAAGCATGGAAATTCTTTCTGTGTCGAGTGATTTTGAAACCAAAATTTAGAATATAAAGTTGCATGTATAGAAGAAAGAAAAAAGAAGCATTTAACAATTTTCTGCTTATTCTTCTATTCTTTGCTAGAAATGAAATTAGATTAACAAAGAAGGCATTTGGGATTGTACTCTTATTGTCCTTTTACTAGAGAAGTTATGTGCTATGTTGCCCTGGTTTTTCATTTTTCTTGAAGTATGGGGATTTGAGTCTCCAAATACAGGAAAATCCTTGAAATAATAGATACCCTTGTAGGACACTTAGCTGCATCCAACACTCACGCCCGAGTACATATGTCATTTGTACTGTCATGTTTCATGTCAAAACCTCCGCAGGAAGAAAATATTAGTCAAATAACAATCAAGACCTTGCTAAATGCCATAAACATATTGCATGACCAATTTTCTGCAATTTATTGATTTGTTATGCTTTGTTAATTAGTCATGATCAGATACGAAGAAAGGTGTTCTCTCACAATTGTGCACTTCCTAATCTTGTTTGTTGTTTTGGTTGGAAACTTGCAAATTGTGCACCCAAAAATTGGTCTGACATGAAAAAAACATGCAGGTATGATCTGGTGCAGGCTGATCTTGCAGTTGGTAGCTTTAACGAGCTTTCGGTGATTAATCTTCGAAGATTATTTGCTAACAAGGGTTCTACTTTCATGGACCGGCAAAAGCAGATCATAGAGAAAACTCCTCCGAGAAGGAAGCTTACAGTCGATACCATCTGAATCATTTTCTCCTTTCATTCCAAATTCGTCCCTGTAATTAAGAGACCGTGCAGGTAGGAGAGAGTTCTAGCATTTATGTTACTCCAACTCTAGATTGCATAGGGATTAGGGGATATGATCCTCTAGTGTATTGTGTTGGACGCAGATTCTTAGTTTGAGTAACATAGGTCTATATATTTAATTTTAAATTATGCTACTGTTAGGAATCATTCATCTGTTTGTACAGTGGGTTCTGTTATTACTTACAGATCTGGTGGATATTGGAAAATCCGGATGGCCAGGATCTTTTTACCTTGCAATGCTTTTAGCCAAAGTTATTTCTCTTCTATAATCTCATGCTTCAATATTTAGGCATGTTACTTACCCCTTGAACTCTGCAATTTTGTTATATGCTTATATCACAGTCTGCACCCATGAAAGCGCTTGCCCAGGTCACAGGCTAGCATATGAGTTGGCCAAACTTTTAGGATCATAACATTTGCATTTGTCCTCTCTAAACAAACCAACAAAATACGAAAACAGGGCAATGTAAAACCCCATCCTAAATCAACTCTATCCACTTTACTTTATCTTAACTGGACTCGAAGGTATCGAATACACATTATCCCCAATGCGGGTATACTTGGTTCTTTTTTTTATGTTTTTCTATATATTTGAAGGACCATATTTCCTATCTCATGTCCGAATGAGTATCGGAAATAAGTCTTGAACACAAATACTTTAAGAAAAATGATGATCGCATGACAAGCTATATACTCTTGAGAAACCCTCTTTTACATGCACCATTACCTCAACAGCTTCTTATCACATCTTCTTTGTGAACATCTTTTGCAGTAACAGTTTTTGAACCAGTTAGACTTCGCTGGAGCCCTTTATTATCCAGTGCTTTGCCTATCTCAAAACTTGATCGCCTCCTCCATATTGGTCACCCTTAAATTTAATTTCCGGTTCTCGTCCAGTTCTCTCGACAATTCTCTCCTAATCATAAACTTATTGCTACGTATATAGTAATACCACTAAAACTTAGACGGTATCATCCTGGGTGCGCACATGTCCGCAAAAAACAGACGTGCTGTAAGCCAAAGAACCAACAGGCATGGTCAAACAGAGAATAAAGAAATCAACAAGGAAAAAGCAAGGAGTAGCACGCAGAATGCATTGTCCAAAAAGAAACAATACAAGCTGATTTTGTAAACAAGGCAACTCAAAAACTGTTAAAATGAGCAAAAGCTGAGATGAGTTAGGAAAATTTATCTCACCGTTCTAGACTACCAGATCTACCACTTCAGAACACATAAATATGCAGATGCCTCATATAGGATTCTTAAACTGGAAGTTCTCCCATTGTTTCGTAACTCAAACAAGTGACAGGAGCACAAATTCATAGGCAGCGAAGTTATTTTGACTTAAAACTAGATTCTGCAACTGCAATTGGAATGAAACAGCACATTTTCTACTCAGTTTCCATAACTATACATCAGGTAACTTAACAGTTCATGCATGAAAGAACTTAAGCAGTTTCAGGCAAGAGTCCTCACAATAAATAAAGATGAAAGATCAAGGCATAAAGCAAAGATGAGGAAATTGAACAATATAGCTCCGGTTTCTTTCTTGTCTAGTTAAACCTATTCAGTTCAAATGAAACTTATTATAAACTAAGTTTTATTCTATTTGCGCCTTAGCGATATCTCCTCTAACATTGAACAATACAGCTATATTACTTGAACTTGAGTGTAGGCCATGGACACGTGTCCTATGCAGATATGTTAAACTTTTTCTAAGTGTTTCCATATGTTTGGAGGATCTGAGAGATATATCAATTCCATAGCCATATCCATATCATACATCAGATAGAAGTTCATTTTTGCCTTATCAGTAAGCAGAGGAAAGCAGAAAAACAATTTATTTTGGTCAAGTATGGTGTGACTTCTTTTCATTGTAAAACAAAGTTAAATGATCATATTACTATGGTCATTATGCACCATCCACTTCAAGAAGCAAAGTCAATTAACTAGAAACATCATGAGAGTAAAAGAATACCAAATTCCAAAGAAACATCAAAAGTTAACATCATCCTCATGTAAAATATTGCATGATTTTGTATCATAAAAAATAAGGTAATTAGTTTGACAGTAACATCTCATTCAATCCAGCTATCATACAAACATTCATGCTAATAAAACTCGGTTAACTTTACACTTTATTAGGGCTTCCACGACGATACTATGCACAAAAAGTGATTAAATCATACTCTACATGAACTCAGAAGGAGAACTGGAATCAGGTTTCCCATTGTCACCTAATCCTCCAGGATGCTGCAAATTTTGCAAAACTTCAGGAGGCAACCCGCCCAAACCAGCTGTTAAACCATCGTTTGCCAAACCATAAAACTGACAAAAGAGCCTAGCCATGACACCAAGAATCTGCATTTGATTCTGGCATGCTTCCATATGCATTTGCATCATTGCTTTCTCATGTTCAATCTGCAATCCCAACAACCTTTCCTTCCACTCCATGGCTTCCTCTTCGAGCTTCTCCTCCATTCTCCTCCTACTCTCCTCATCCAATTCTTTCTCCAACCTCAATCTTCTTTCACCTTCCTTCCAACCTCGAAACAGCTCCCTGTCCTCCAACTCCATTTCCCATTCCTCCATCCTCTCTTCCCTCTCACTCCATAGCTTTTCTTTGCCGAACTCCGATTCCCTCCTCTTTTGTTCCCTCTCCATCTCACCTTTCTCTCTCACAAACTCTCTTTCCTTCCTTTTCTCTTCCCTCCTCACCACCCCCTCTCTCAACTCCAATACTTGTGTTCCAAGCAATCCAAAACCCTTACTTCCTCCTACACCTTTCCTCGATTTTCGAACATGAGAAACACCGATATCTCCAAATTCTCTCTCCCCTCCGAACTCGCCCTCCGGACCTACCTTATCATCACCGCCATCATCCCCATCTCCAACGACACCGTCGTCTTCCTCTTCCTCCTCACTATCAATTGCAAACCCCAAGTCACAACAATCCTCAAACAAATCACTCTCGTTACCATTGCTTTCACTACCTTTCTTCCCTTTAACTTCAAGTTCCACATCGCCAAAAACCTCTTTACACTTTAAAAAATTTTCCCAATGATTCTCACCGTCTTTCCAATTGAACTCATCCTTCGAAATCCTAATCTTCTGCTTCACCCCCAAATACTGGTACCTCATGTTTTGAACCTTAATAGATACATCACGCCAAGACCACTTGAAAGGAAAAGTAATGGGATCTTGAAGATGATGAACTGAGTTAACATGGTCAGCTATGGGTTTGAATTTTTTCTCTCTGGTTTTGAGTTTGGACAAAGTTCCTGAATTGAGAAGATCAGAGTATTTGGATAAAAGGGTTTGTTCTTCAAGCTCCGACCACTTCTTACGTTTCATTTCGTAGGCTAAGATCTTATTGAAGAGTTTTGGTTTGGTTTTGAAAATTGTTCGAACAAAAAAAGGCTTGAACTTCGCAGGTTGTTTGAAAAAGGCTAAGGGCGGAACTCAGAAGTTGTTTTGATAGATTTGGGAATGATTTTTTCTCTCGTTCAAAGTGTAAAAGTTAAAATGCCATTAAAAAAGTAAAGTAAATAAACCAGTAAAAATAATAAAATAATGGTTTTGGCTTTGGCCAACAGTAAAGCTGAGGTGGCAAAAGGAGACGAGACGACTTTTGGAACATTTCTTTAGAAGATAACGTTTTTACCATTTCCTTATCCTTTTTTATATCTAAAACTCCAAAAACCCATCAATAATCCGACTGCAATGGAATCAGCTCTGGATAGAGATTTAAAACCCAGCTTCAAAATCAAACTCAAAGATTGTAACTTTTTCAAGCTGTTCTAATTGGAACCCCAAAACAATGTCTTGTACCTCAGTTTCTTCTTTTACCCCTTCTCTCTTTTCCCCTTCAAAACATTCTTCTTTGTCAAATCATAAGCTCAGACTCATCCAATGTTCTGTTGGTGGTACTTTTTTTAAATTTTAATTTAAAATTTAGTGTTCAACTTAAGATTTTTTTTGTTAATTTGTCGTTTGATGTGAGATTTTCTGGGTTCTTTTCGCTACTAAGACCAAGTCAAAATTTTTGAAGATCAGAAAAGTAGGAGCTTAAGCATGGGAACCTCTCTGTCTAAGCTGGATTGCGTTAGTTAATGTGTTTTAGTTATGGATTAATGGACTAATAGAGATGGAACTACTTTTTAAGTGCATGAAGCTCATTTCTTGTCTCGAATTCTTTGTGGAAAAGATGCTTGAAGTTATCAGTGAGCTAATCTCAGATGTGGGAATTAGCTTTCATTGTTAGATTTGATTTTGAATAGGGATTAATTATAATTCATGACTTTCTGCTTAAGTATTGGGAGTGGTAATGCTGAAGGGTAGAACTAGGAATGCTTTGAAAATTGAAACCATAATTAGGTATTATATGATGAAACCATTACACTATGATAGGACAATGGCTTGCTTGCAAAAGATCTATTTTCTTTATTCATGTCTGTTGTTGTTCTTAATTTTTACTGGTTATGCTACAAAGTACCAAACTTGAGTAGCGTGCTTGTCAAGTAATGCACGGTCATAACCATGCTTTGCTATCATGGCATGTTCGATGTTGATGATTGAGATAGTGTAGATAGTATTTGTCCGATTGAAATTACTGTCAATTTATTTCAGCCTGACATAGTTGTTCCATACGTTTGATCCCCTTGTATCTGAGCATTGCTTGTTTTGATTAACAAAATCATTTACATTGATATTCTGTTCTTCTCATAAGCATCAACTATTCTCTTTGATCAGACCTGGCGGCATTTTTTTTACCTATATCTATGTTTTGCTGAAAATTGCTGAGTTATAGATTTTATTTGTAAAATTCTTATTTAGGAACTGTTGTAGAACTGAAAGCAACTGCTGCTTCTGAACCCCTGTTACTCAACGCTGTTCCAGGGCAAGATGTTGAAAGACCACCAGTTTGGCTTATGAGGCAAGCAGGGAGGTACATGAAGGCTGGTTTTCAAATCAATGTGCTTCAAAAGAAATTTTTTATGTGCTGCATTTGCTTCGGATATTGCATGCCTCAACTGTAATGTCTGCTTCATGTTTCTGTTATCAAACCCCTTTTTGAAAATGCAAAAAGAAGGGGGAAGGGATTTACCTGTTGTTTCTTATGTTAATCTAATTGAAGGGATCTACCTGTTGCATTTTTTCCCTTTTCTTCAAATCTTATGCTTTGATGCCATCTTTTGTATAACTTTTGACTTCTATGCATGTTATATATATTCATTACACTTGCTCTTTTATTGTAATTTCAA